TGTACTGGCAGTAAATGAAAAGGGCAGAAGTATAGCCCCCTCCACCGTAGTGCCCCACGCCCCCCCTCTCTCATTAGCTTGTCTCCTTTCTCATGCATGTCAGCATAGGGTGCAGTACAGTGTAGTTTGTCCTAAATGTAATATGAAAGGTAATCGAACTGGCTCAGAAATAAGCCCTTGATCAAGATGTCCAAAGCTTTTTTTTTTTTTTTTTAAATTCATTCCTTCAATATTTGAAAATTATTTTTTTCTTTGAGAGAGTCCTATTACATAATTAACAAGTTAAAAGCTCTAAAAGTCTGATAATGATAAAGAAACTGAATTATTTTCTTTCATTTCTGAACCCACTTATTATGGTATGATTGGCATGTAAAAGGCTGTAGCCATTTAATGTATACATCTCAATGAGTTTGGGAAAAAAGTATACATGGCAATGCCATCACCCATCATGGCCAAAGAAATACACGTCACCTTCCAAAGTTTTCTCCTGCCCCCATTATGATGATAATAATGATGATTATTTTGGTACCAAGAACACAACATAATATCTACCCTTTTAGCAAATTTTAAGTATATAACACAGTATTGTTAGCTACAGGCACTATACTCTATATGCCCTATAGTAGATTTCTAGAACACATTTATTTTGCACAACTAAAATTTTCACTTCCCATTTTTCCCTCCTCCCAGCCCCTGACAACTGCCATTCTATAATCTACTTCTATGAGTCTGACAACTTTAAGTTTTACATAGAAGTGAGATCATGCAGTATTTGTCATTCTGTGTCTGGCTTATTTCACTTAGCATAATGACCTTCAGTTTAATCAGTGTTGCTGCAAATTGTGAGATTTTCTTGTTAAGGACTGATTTGGGTAGGCTATTGTGGGCAGATCACATGAGGCCAGGAGTTCAAGACCAGCCTGAGAGACATAGTGAAACCCTGTCTTTACTAAAATACAAAAATTAGCCAGGTGTGGTGGTGCACGTCTATTATCCCAGCTACTCTGGAGGCTGAAGCATGGGCATCAATTGGACCTGGGAAGCGGAGGTTGCAGTAAGCCGAGATCACTGCACTCCAGCCTGGGAGACAGAATGAGTCTCTGTCTCAAAAAACAAAAAAAACACAACTATTTGCTTTTAAATTGATAAACACAAGGCAATTCGTATGTTAGCTTGATTTAGCCATTCTACAATGTATACATATATCAAAACATTATATCATATACCATAAATCTATACCTTTTTCATGTCACAATTTCTTTGTCCACTTATTAACTGATGGACACGTAAGTTGAGTCCATATCCTGCCTATCCTGAATAATGTTGCAATAAATTTAAAAGTGCAGATCTCTCTTCAAACCCCTGATTTCAATTCCTTTGAATATATATCCAGAAGCAGAATTGCTGGATTGTATGGTAGCTCTGGTTTTAATTTTTTGAGGGGCTTCCATGCTATTTTCCATAGTGGGTGCACTGATTTTCATTTTCACCAACAGTGTACAAGGGTTCTCTTCTTGATATCCTTGTTCACACTTGTTTTCTTTCCATTTCTTTCTTTTTTTTTTTTTTTTTAAATTTATAAAGAAAATAGGTTTAATTGGCTTATGGTTCTGTGGGCTGAACAGGAAGCATGGCAGCATCTGATGCTGGAGAGGCCTCAGGGAACTTTGACTTATGGCCGAAGGCACAGTGGTAGGAGGCAACTTCACATGGCTGGGAGGCTATGTTTTGGGCCCTTCTGTCCATGGCTCTGCTCCTTGCTCCAGCTGGAAGATCATCTCAGGTTTGGGAATGCAGTGTCCCAAGGATACCAAGCTGCTGTAGGTCTCCAGCATCACGTTGCTGTTCAGGGTCCGCTGAGCATCATCCAGGCCCTGCCATTCCTCCCAAGTGAAGTCCTCAGCTATATCCTCAAACAACGCCAACCCCAGAAATGTATTAATTTATTTTGCTTTTGGAAACATATAGAAGTTTCTGGAATTATATTGGAGATTTATTCATCTTTGCTACTCTTAGAAATGCATGTAGCATTATGGAAGCATAGCTTCAGGGATGCCAAACGCAACTGTAAACCTGCAGGGTGGTCCAGAGAGCGTAGCAGCCAGAATACAGTAACAAAATGGCAGAAGTCTGTCCTTCCTTCCCTACTTCCTTCCTTCCTTCCTTCCTTCCTTCCTTCCTTCCTTCCTCCCTCCCTCCCTCCCTCCCTTCCTCTCTCCCTCTCTCTCTTTCTTTCTTTCTTTCTTCCTTCCTTCCTTCCTTCCTTCCTTCCTTCCTTCCTTCCTTCCTTCCTT